TTGAAGTGCTGGAAACTAAACTTCAAGAAATTTAATTAGAAATATAGTTTATAGCGCAATTCATTATACAATGGGAGTTATGATCGTTATAATTCAGTCCAAATGCAACTAAGGTCGTCTACTTTTATAAACATTTTCAACTTGCTCCCATAATATTGAAACTCGTCTGAATTCCCTCGAATCCCAATCAAACTATTCCAACAAGTCTCAAAACTCATTTTTTACTTTTGTAAAGTGTTATAACACAAAATTCGATGCATTCATTAAAAATGAAGTGTCAGTTTATTACTATGTATTTTGGTTTTGGACTTGAGACTTGAGTTGTGAATGTACATTTTATGTTAAGAGCTTTATTTTACTCGTATTCATTTGTGATATTCTATATTGGTAGTTGTACGTTAGCTATAAACAATACTCCCTCCGGTCCAAAATAAGTGATTTTTTGGCCTTTTTCTTGTGGTCCAAAATAAGTGATTTTTCCAGATTTCAAGAATGAATTAATTATTTTTTTTCCTACATTGTCCTTGAAGTAAATGGTGTTGGAATATGTGTTAGGAGTATTTATGTGAGATAGTAAAGGTTAATATGGTCAATTCCATTGCTAATTAATGCTAAAAGGTGAATTTCTTAATTTGTGTGAAAACATCCAAAAAATCATTTTTTTGGACCGGAGGGAGTATAAGATACAAGAGTTGTTAAGTGAATCGCTCATTAAGTGCAAATCACGACCTTGTGGTTTTGGCTCTGAGACATTTAAGTTTGGTGTTATGTTAGTCATGCATCGTCCACCCAATCATGGCCATTTGACCGTCAATCAAGTAGTGCAATATTTCCAATTTGGTTATTCATCCTGGATTTACTAATTAATTCTAGATATCCTAAATTTTTATTATCTTCTTGCTTTTATGGTTTGAGATTAATGAGTCATTTATTTCTACCAACTTTGAGAATCGATAAGAAATCAAATGGGCATTCAAGCTTTTTCTCAATTTGATGCTTTTTCCTTTTTATTTCTCCCGTGTAGCCGTCACCTGAATAGCATGTTCAAGTGAGTTTGGTAATAAAATACTTAAGATGAGGAGTCGTGGTGTTACATATGATTAGAACTTAAAATAAAGAATTAGTCATTTATGTTAAGTCGTGAAACTGGGTTTTAAATTGATGTGAAATTTTATAAAGTATTTACAACTGTTGAATTTTATATATGCATTCATATTTCGTTATCGTCCACAATGGATACATGTTTATAATGTCGTTTCACCTTTTTTTTTTTGAGGGAGAAATGTATTTCGAAACTTAAATCCATAACAAACCTCGATGAAAGGTAGAGCCACCACATAATGGAGGGGTGCTTCATCTCCTCCCCTACTGATGCAGTAGTAACCTACGGGAATTGAGTTTTAACCATATATATAATTGGCCTGGAAAAACTATGATAGATTTTAAATCTATGGAATAAGAGAAAACTGAACCAAATCATGGTTGTTTTCTTTTAGAAAATTATGAACACATAATCATCCGACTGCAATCTTCGCATTTCCAACTAATTAAACAAGAAATTCATCTAGGTAACACTAGGATGCCAAATATCCTGTATTATATTAATTTTCCAAGAACGAACACTTTGTGTAGACAACCTTGAAGTACATTATGAGAATCTAATAAAGTTTTGCACTGGGATCTCCATCCACTTTTAATAATAATAAGGAACGCTTTCTTTCTTTCTTTCTTTCTTTCATTCATGTTTATTAATACCAAAATATGTACATATCTGATAGTTGCATGCGTAAGAAAACCAAGGGAATCTCTTTCATACATAAGCAAAGGTTGAAATTATGCTAGATCAATTTGTATAGTATATGAACGATAAGAAGAAATGAAACAGAAGAAGAGAGAAGAAGTAGAGAAGAGAGAAGAAGGAGAAGAACGAATGTTCTAGTCTTAGAGAGAGAAATTTTATTACTTCAAAAATTGATCTAAACATGTGTGTGTAGGATATATATATATATAAGCTAACCTTATAACTAATTGAGCTTAACTAGACTAAGTCGGTATTTTTCAGCTTAACTAACTCTAGGATTGATAGTTAATTAACTAATAACCTGACTATGTGAAATTACTAAGTTACCCTCTTTCTTTATGTTACATCTTTCTCTACACCCCCCTCAAGCTAGGTATTGAGAATACATTAAGAACACCTAGCTTGGAAGATAGATATCTATGTTGCGCTTTGTTGAGGCCCTTAGTTAATATATCTGCTGGCTGCTCCTTGGTACACATGTAGGTTGTTTTGATGAGTCCTTGCATGATTTTTTCCCTGATGAAGTGGCAGTCGATTTCAATATGCTTTGTTCTTTCATGATAAACAGGATTTGCAGCAATTTGGATTGCTGCTTTGCTGTCACTGAATACTTCAACTAGTAATTTTATTTCAGCTCCTATTTCCTTTAACAGACCAATTAACCAAATAATTTCTGCAACAGTTGTAGCTAGACTTCTGTATTCAGCTTCTGCAGAGCTTCTAGAAACAGTAGTTTGTTTCTTGGACTTCCATGATATTAGAGAATCTCCAAGCTTGATTAGATAGCCTGAAACTGATTTTCTTGAAAACGGACAAGCTACCCAATCTGCATCACAGTATGCTGAAATGGTATTGTTTAGCTTGCTTGACAATAGAATACCTTGTCCTGGACTGGCATTGACATATCTGACAACTCTTAAGGCAGCTTTCATATGTGACTTCTTTGGTTTTTGAAGAAATTGGCTTTGTGTTTGAACACTGAATGATATATCTGGTCTAGTCATTGTTAAATATAGCAATTTGCCTATCAATCTTTGATAAGAGTTTAAATCTGCTAGTTCTTCATCTATATAAGTAGTTGAGTTGGTTCTTTTTACATACTCATCATACTCAGTTGTTGTTAGTTTCATATTTGTATCAATAGGTGTTATAGAAGGTTTGGCAGCTGCTAGACCTGTTTCAAAAATCAATTCCAAAGCATACTTCCTTTGGTGCATAAGGATCCCTTGTTCTGATCTAACAAACTCTATGCCTAGAAAATATTTTAAGTTCACCTAGGTCTTTCATTTTGAAGGACTGTTGTAAATGATTTTTTGTCTCCTCTATTAGTTTTAGAGAGTCACCAGTTACCAACATATCATCTACATAGATTAAGACCATTGTAATACCTTCTACTGTTTTCTTAAAGAACAGGGATTGATCATGTTGACTTTGTTGAAATTTAATATTCATTAATGCTTTTGTTAGTTTAGCATTCCATTGTCTAGGGGCTTGTTTTAGGCCATATAGGGATTTAACAAGTCTACATACCTTATTCTCCCCCTGACTTGTAAATCCTTGAGGTAATTGCATATAGATCTCATCTAATAAATCACCCTATAAAAAGGCATTGTATACATCCATTTGGTGTATATGCCACTGTTTAGTGGCAACTATAGCTATGATAGTTCTTATATTCTTCATCTTAATAACAGGAGAGAAAGTTTCTTGATAGTCTATTCCCTCTTTTTGACTGAAGCCTTTAGCTACTAATCTAGCCTTAAACCTTTCTATTTCCCCAGAAGCTTTGTATTTAATCTTATATATCCATTTACACCCAATAGGTGTTTTTCCAGAAGGCAAAGTGACTATATCCCATGTATGATTATTCTGTAAAGCCTCAATTTCTGCTTTCATTGCTTCTATCCATTTAGGATCCTTTACAGCTTCAGAATATAGAGATGGTTCAGTTATATTTGAAGCTTTTGTTAAGTATGCTTGATATTTATTAGTTAAGTGATCATAGGTTATGTATTTTGATAAGCCATAGGGTTCATCTTGATGAGCAGTTAAAGACACAAAGTCTTTCATCCATATAGGTGGTTTCTTTCCTCTTTCTGATCTTCTTACATTTATTGTTTGTGAATTTTGATCATTGTGTTGTATAATTGGAGCTTGTTGACTATTATTCTGATTAGTGTATTATCAGACTGCTGAGTGTTTTCTTGTGTACCTTTAGATATGGTATTATTTGGTTGTTCATATGTATACACATCATTTTCAGAGGCTATAAATTGAATTGGTTGAAGGAGTAAATCTGTTGTGTTAGGATGAACAAATATAGATTTATTATTGACTTGTTTGTTCTTAAATGGAAATATGTATTCTCTGAATTGCACATCTCTACTTACAAAGAAGGTTTTGTCTATCAGATCATATAGAACATATCCTTTTTGAGTTGTGGCATACCCCATATGTATAGCAGGTTTTAATCTAGGCATTAATTTGTCATTTTGATTGACTATTTTTGCATAACACAGACATCCTATAACTTTAAGATGCTGTAAGGAAGATTTTTTATCGTACATTCTTTCATATGGGCTTTTATTTTCAATAGTGGAACTAGGCAGTCTATTAATAAGATAAACTGCAGCAAAAACACAATAACCCCAGAATTTTATAGGTATATTAGCTTGAAACCTTATAGCCCTAGTAAGTTCTAGGATATGTCTATGTTTTCTCTCAGCTACTCCATTTTGCGGAGGAGTATAAGGACAGGTTTTCTGATGTATCACTCCTAAACTTTTGAAAAAAATTTCACAAGTTGAGTTAATAAATTCAGTCCCATTATCTGTTCTTACTGTTTTGATTGTTATTCCAAAATAATTTTTGACAAAAGCAAAGAACTGCTGTAAAAGTACATGATGTGCCGGAGAATTTCGGCACATTTCAATACTAATTACTTAGATTTTAACTTATTTTAATGCAATTATCTCCCTGACTTATGTAATTTTGGTGTTTTTACAGTACATAAGGACTAAGGACCCAAGAGCATGGAAATGAAAGCAAAAAAGACAAGAAAAGAGCAAAATGCAGCAAAAAAGATGATTCTGCGACGCATTATGCGATCGCCGATCACATATGCGAGCCGCAGAATGAACACTCAGATCGCAAACAAAAACAGACTCCAGGGCAAATTTCAAGTCAAGAATGCGGTCCGCTATGCGACCGCAGAACCTGTCTGCGAGCCGCAAAGTGAACCACAAACCAACCATGAAGGCTGCTGAAGGATGAATGTGCGATGCAAAATGCGATCGCGTTTCTGCAATGCGAACCGTAGATCTGGAATGCGATGAAGATGTGAAAACTAGGGTTTCAGTCTGCGATGGAGACGTCCAAAATGCGGACCGCATGTCGCTTATGCGACGAGAATGCGACCGCATTTCTGACCTGAAAGGGTATTTTTGTCCGTCTTCTGTCTCGATTTTCAGTCCACTATAAATAGCTTTATGATATTTTTGTGGGCTCATCTTGTCTGGTTTTTGAACTACATTCCAAGACTTTAATACTCCTCACTTTTGGAGTCTTTTGGGGGTCAAGAATATTCCCTTAGTAAGCTTTATGGCTTTTATTATTCTCTTGCTTTTGTATTTTAGTATGAGTAGCTAACTCTAAATACTTAGGTTGTGGCCCCTAAATGGGTGTTATGTTAATGGGTGTTTAACATTGCATATATATATAATGGTTGGTTGATATTTATTTATTTCTCGTACTTCATTTATTGTTGGTGGTTGCAAACATTAACAAGTGCCATTAAATTCTACTTTGCTTGGGAAAGTGGGTTAGAATTTGGTAGAAGTAAATATCAAAGACTCAAGGCATTAAACCTTGTTTGATAAAATCGCTTAGGGATAAGTGGATTTTATTTGGCATGTATTGATTGTTATTAATTGCAACTCTTTTACATTTGGGAAAATTATAAAGAGGAGATACTACCCAACTATTGGGAAATATTGGGTAGTTGCTTAGACATCATTTGCATATCAAAGGGACCAACCATTAGAAATATATCATATTAACACCGATAGCATTACATTTCATTAAAGGGGACACAACCTTGGTTTCTTTAATCTTATTAATTACACCTTCAATATTCCAATCGGTTGTTACTTCAAAACAAACTAAATTCATACTTTTGTCACTCTTAATTCACACTCTTGTTACCGTTAACTGGATAGGATTACGGCTTTAGTCGAGTAACACACTATCCCAGTAACCTTTTCACACCTATTCCCTGTGGGATTCGACCCCAACCTTGTTGGGTTATTATATTTGACATCGACCGGCTTACACAATTTATAAAAGTGTAATTTGAGCGTATCAGTACACAAACATCAGACTTCAATTTCAGTAAGAAAATCCATGTCTTTCTAGAAAAATCATCTACAACTGTCAGAAAAAATTTATTTCCATTCACAGTAGGAATTTTGTAAGGACCCCATACATCCATGTGAACTAACTCAAATCTAGCAACTGTTTTTATACTACTAATAGGAAAAGACTGCCTTGTTTGCTTTGCACAGGGGCATGTAGTACATAGATCTATTCTAGTAGAAATGTCTGTTGTATTAGTAGGGAATAATTTCTTGAGAATACTAGCAGATACATGTCCAAGCCTTCTATGCCAAAGTTCAATATCAGTTGGACTAACTTCTTTATTGATTTCTGTCTCATTACTATTTAGAGTAAATGCATTATTTTCTGATATTTTTTGTCTACTGAGTATGTATAAACCACTGTCTTCTTTACCAATCGCTTTCACCCTCCCACTGAAGAGTTCCTGAAATATACAAAAATCAGGGAAGAAAGCAACTGAGCATTTCAATTTCTTAGTTAGCTTTGAGACAGATAATTGGTTATATTTGAACTGTGGAATGTAAAATACATTAGTTATGGTGTCTTGATCAGTCAATGTACTTGTTCCAATATGTGTGCCTTGAGTAGTTTCTCCATTAGGTAGATGCACTTTCTTAGTTTGATTTGTTTGCATTAGAGACACTTTATTTAGTAGTTCTATATCTGCTACCATATGGTTTGTGGCTCCTGTGTCTATTATCCATTCATGTAAGCTTTTAGAGGCTAAAAGGGCACAGGGAATACCTACAGCATTAGCTGATGGTGTTGCTGTAGTAGATGCTGCACTTGTATGATCTTTGTTCAGCAATTGCACTATGTGTTCATATTGTTCCTTTGTGAAGGTGCAGTTTCCCATCCAAGGTGTGTTTGTCATTAGATTACAGCCTTGGGAAGTGTTAGCACTCACACCATTATTTGTTAATTGAGAGTTTTGTACACACTTCTCATTCCAATTTCCTCTAGAAGATTGATTTCCCTGTAACTCCATATCAGATAGCACATTGTAAGCACTATGTGTGTTTGTATTCCTTTTTCTTGGTCTATATTCTGGAGGATATCCTATAACTCTGTAGCAGCTTTCTTTAGTGTGTCCCTTCATTTTGCACACATCACAGAATAGATTGAAATTTTTCTTGAATTTCTGATAATTGCCTCCAGTTTTGGTATACATTGCCATATCAAATTGGTTGATTGCAGAAGTTGGATTAGCTCCTAGTACTCCAGCATTTGCTGCTACTGACTTTTGACTCTCATCACTAATCACCATAGCATATGCCTGATTGACTCTGGGCATTGGATTCATGAGTAGAATCTGGCCCCTAGCTTGACTATATGACACGTTCAGGCCCATTAAGAACTGAAATAGCTTCAGTTTCTGCAGATGCACAACATATTCCCTTGACCTTGGGCAGTCACACCCAGGTGCAGGGACCAGTGCCTCAAATTCCTCCCACAAATCGTTCAATTTTGAGAAATAAATCGAAAAAGAATTTGTTCCTTGACTAAGAGTAGTGTTTTCTTTATGCAAATTGTATGATCTTGATCCATCCACCTTGTCAAACCTTTCATGTAAATCATCCCACACAGCTTTTGCACTTGAAGCATACATTATTCCACCAAGTAAACCATTACTCACAGAATTCATTAACCAAGAAAGCACAATTGCGTTAACCCTTTCCCAGTGATTCCATAGATTTTCTGGGAAGTTTTCTTTAGTGCATGTACCATCTACCAACCCCAACTTATTTCTTCCTAATAATGCCATCCTCATAGATCGAAACCACAGTGAATAATTCTCAATTCCAGTTAATTGAAAGGATATTATCTGAATACCACTTACATCTTAGGGGCTTAGAAATAGAGGATGATTGTAGTCAATTGCATGCAGCCCTCCTTGATTCAAGTTTACAGCAGGAACTACTGGAGGAACTCCGGCTGGTTGTTCATTGGCCGCCATAGACACAAGATTTGAAAGAACAAGAAGCAGAAATCAGAAATCCCTTTGATTTTGCGGAATTAGATGTTGAATCGGAACTCAAGCTTGTTGATTAGCTTGACCGCTCTGATACCATAAAATTATGCTAGATCAATTTGTATAGTATATGAACGATAAGAAGAAATGAAACAGAAGAAGAGAGAAGAAGTAGAGAAGAGAGAAGAAGGAGAAGAACGAATGTTCTAGTCTTAGAGAGAGAAATTTTATTACTTCAAAAATTGATCTAAACATGTGTGTGTAGGATATATATATATAAGCTAACCTTATAACTAATTGAGCTTAACTAGACTAAGTCGGTATTATTCAGCTTAACTAACTCTAGGATTGGTAGTTAATTAACTAATAAACTGACTATGTGAAATTACTAAGTTACCCTCTTTCTTTATGTTACATCTTTCTCTACAAAGGTTTTTTGTTTAAGTCCGGGGTATAAAATCCTCTTTGTTAGGGAGCACTTTACCCCAATGTGAAACTTTCTTTGCATGAATTCCAATTTAGTCGGGCTCCAATGCGGATACTAGACCTCCAAGAAAATTAAAAAAATAAGAAAAACAAGGGAGACTCTTCCCTCTACATCAATGAGAAGAATATGAAAATGTAAAAGAAGGTAACTAATTTCTATCAAAACTCAGTAAACTTTTCATATATTGGTAGATCTAGTCATCTCTTTATTATTTGATCTAATCACTTAACACCATTACGCTCTTTCCAGATGTGGCTCCCAAAATTTCCCTTAAGGAGCTTGAATTTATGGAACACAAAATCTTATTAGAAACAGCATGACAATCATTAGATTTGAAAAATATATCAAAATTTTTCCACGTAACAGCATTAAAAATTCAATGCTTTCCTAACATTCTAAATATGTCAAACAATAAAAACAAATAAATTCAACATCAATATAAAATCGGGATGAGTTCTAACAACAATTAAAATCAAGATTTGTCCTAACAATTGATACTACCAAATAACTAGATGGTAATATTAGCAAGAAAAACAACCTCTAATTGAATCAAGGAATCACCATGAATTAGGTGAAAGGATAACCCAAAATTCATGGCAACTCATTGACCAATAAGTGATCCTCTTCTCTAAAAACATACGATAGTGTGATATATCTTTTATGTCAAATTCTTGAAGTTTCCACCTATATTTATAGCTCAATTTGGGCTTGGGAATGAGTTGGTAATTTAGCCCATTTGGTTAATAATTTATAACATTACATTTGATAATCTTTTTTAGATTATGATACTAAAATTCATAAATCTATTCGGATGTTATTACTAGAATATTTGACCAATGACTGCTCTTAATTATGGTTTTACTTAATTGAGATGTAGAAGTTGGATCTAATCTATATCAGCAAACATTAATTCAAGTTACATTTTAACAAGCCATGCTCTTATGTCGTACTTATGGCGTTCAAGAAAAAATAAAGAGTTAAAAAAAATGAAAAAATAAACAAATATCTATGTAAACAACTAACATGTTCTTTCACTTAGTTTGGTTGGTTTTAAATTTTAAAATACGAAAATATTTGATTAGGCTTAGTTTATTCTAAACGAATAGCTGTTTCTTACTCGTCTGACATGTTCGAGCTACTAGCATGTGTCATGATTATTTAACAAGGATGAGACACTTATTTGAACTAATTAAGGGCAAAATCTAATACCTTTAATTAAGCAAGTAGGTGACAAGTAGAGATGTCACCTACTTGCTAAAAGGAAAGGCGTAGAGTAAATTCCCAAAAAGGGGTTTGTTGGGTTAGGAAACGAGGACCCTTTTAAGGGCTGATCCTCTTCATTTATATTCATAATTTCTTGACCCAAAAATAAGAGAGAGATACCTACGAATCATTCTCCAAAAAATCTACATACAACCCTAAGCAATTTAAAGAGTTACAACTGATACTAGTGTCGAAAAACCCAAGTTCTTACTAGTTTCTTTTCCTCTTTCTTGTAGCTGCGTTAGGGATTATTTCTAGGTGAAGAGAGCTTGAAGCTGGTTTTGATTAGCTTAAGGTTGAAGTACATCAGCAACACACACACACACACATATATATAATGAGACATAAAGAGAAGTTCGTATTTCTGAATTTATGTACGTTATCCTAGTCTCATAAATTATAGTATTCTCCCTTATCAGGACTTTATATTCAGTTAAGTAATTTTTTTTGTTTTCAGTCAAGAGAGTAGAGAGAGAGAGAGAGGGGGAGAGAGAGAGAGAGAGAGAGAGAGAGAGAGAGAGAGAGAGAGAGAGTGTATATACACACACACACACATTGCAGTATTTTCACCATCGCTGAACTATAATCAGTGGGCAGGTCCCTATTAGACAATCTGATCAGATGGTAAGCTATATACGGAGCCTATTGTGATCGAGCGACTATGAACGAGCCCAAAATGGCCGAGTAGTAATTTAGATACCGAGCCTAGTATGGCCGAGGGCCTGTGAGCCTATTACGATCGAGAAGTTACGCGTACCGAGCTTTCTAGGACTGGGTAGCTAGTTTACTTACTATATTGAGAGAGTTGAGTCAGCATTAACAAGTAAGCTGTCACGACCTGGAATTCCCACCGTCGGGACCGTAATAGCGCTTAAAATTCACTTGCTAGGCAAGCTAACGCTAGAACAATTTATCCACTTTTAACAATTGAATTAAATAACCAAAGATAACTTGAATAACTGAAATATCAATGCAAAAGATAAAACTACCAAACGTCTATTACAATTCCCTAAATCTAGTGTCACAAGTGCACGAGCTTCGAAAGTAATACACATAAATGTTTGAAATAAGTACAAAGTTGTCTGAATGAAGTTATACAGCTAAAAAGAAAAGAGGATGGGGACTCCAGGAGCTGCGGACGTTGAATAGCCGTACCTCAAGTCTCCGCCGATGTCCAATCCGGGCACGCTAATAACCGCCGCTGGGATTGACTCCAAAATCTGCACAGTGTGCAGAGTGTAGTATCAGTACAACCGACCCCATGTACTGGTAAGTGTCTAGCATAATCTCGACGAAGTAGTGACGAGGCTAAGACGGGTCACCTACACTATAACCGGTGCGCAGTATATACTAATGACAGAATAATGGGAGTACTGAACAGAATTTAAACAGCCAGCAGAAAATGATAACCACAGCCTAAAAAATACACCAGTGTCGTCCAGAATTACAAATCCTTACCAGTTCAAATAATAATACTGAGTAACAACGATGCTCAGGAAATGGAGACATACAGGTTATTGCGGCGCGCAACCCGATCCCACCAGACAACACATAATTCTCCCTTATTCTACCGTAACAATATCAATAACAGTAAATAATATGGATTTGTTGTGGCACGCAACCCGATACCACCGTATATCAGTATCAGTATCATAATTCACACTTATTTCACCATATCAATCCACCCTTATTCCACGTGTTGCAGCATGTAACCCGATCCCCGTATAAACATATTCACCCTTATTCCACCATATCAATCTTCCCTTATTACGCTGCTGCGGCGTGCATCCCGATCCTACCATATCAGTACCAACACTCAATGTATACAGTCAAATCAACAATCTAAATCGCCAGGCCTTTACGATGAATAAATACCAAAATGAACCAAGAAAATGAAACCTCGTTCAATATAGAACCTAGACAAGTAATACTACACAGTGAGACCAATCAAGCAGTTTACAATTAGAAGGTGAAAACAAGTGAAGTTAAGCAAATAACAGGGATTAGGGGAACTATGAAAAGAGCTAACATGGTTAACAAAAGAAGATATTGATTAACACGATTAATTTAGACAGGGAAGAAAATAGTTAAGGGAAAATAGTAATTCAGGGAAAAACAAATAATTTGGTGGCGTATAAGCACTCATCACATCATATACGCCTCTCAGATGAGAATCACATAGCAAATAGTCCGAGGGTTCCTAATTTCCTCAAGTCAAGGTTAGATACAACACTTACCTCGCTCCAAGGACCACTCAAAGCTCAACTACGACTTTGCCTTTCAAACTAGCCTCCGAACTAACAATATCTAGCAAATTACCTACCAACCGATTCAAAATGAGCCTTAGGATTCACCCACGATAACAACAATTCGATTTAGGTCATTATTGAAAAAGTCAACACTCGGGCCCGCAATGTCCAACCCCGAAATTCGGACCAAAACTCGATTACCCATTCACCCCCGGCCCGAGCCCGGATATATAATTGGTTTCTGAATCCGACCTCAATTTGAGATCTAAATCCCCAAATTTTGAAATCCCTAATTTTTACACAAAAATTTTCAATTTCACCATGAAAACCTTAGATTTTAAGTTGAAATCTTGTAAAATAAAGTGAACGATTGAAAGAAACTAGTTTAGAATTACTTACCTACAATTTGAGGAAGAAATGGTCTTTGGAAAATCGCCTTTTTTGTTTTAGGTTTTGAAAATTTGAAGAATGGGAGAAAAATCCCGTCTAAGTCTCTTTTACCTACCTGCAGATGTCACATTTGTGACCTGGGCTTCACAAATGCAAAGCCCGAACATGCGAAGGGACCATCGCAAATGCGAAGCCCGTCACAGCTCTCCTGGATCTCCGCAGTTGCGACTCAGTGATAGCATTTGGGATCACTACCCTTCCCTGACTCACTTCGCAAATGAGAAGATACTTCTCGCAAATGCGAGGATTGCCTGACCCAGCTACTCTTCGTATTTGCGATGAGTAGCTCGCAAATCCGAAGCTGTCATGCTCACAAATGTGAACTTTGATCTCGAAAATGCGAGATCAGAGGCCAATTCCACGAAATTGCAGATACCAGCAATGCCTAAGTCCAATTTCACTCCGTAGCCTATCTGAAACTCACCCGATCCCCCGAGGCTCCAAACCAAACATGCACACAAATCTTAAAATATCATTAGAACTTGCTCGCGTGATTAAATCTCCAAAATAACACCTCGAATTACAAATTCAGCACC